TGTGGCTGCATCGACCACATATTCACCATTCGTCAGATTCTAGAACATAGACATACTTATCGGCGTCCGACAATGGTGGTCTTTCTCGACTTAAAAGCAGCATTTGACTCTGTAGACCGCAAGATTCTGTGGCAGTGTCTGTCATTGAAAGGCGTACAACAGAAGTACATAAACCTTGTAAAGGCTCTTGACTCGAACACTACCAGTCGAGTCAGAGCTTATGGCGAACTACCATCTACTTTTGCAACCTCAAGTGGTGTCCGTCAAGGCTGTCCACTTTCTCCATTTTTGTTTAACTTCATCATAGATCTACTGATGGAAATAACGTTCTCGTTTAATGAGTTCTCGGGTATTGATCTCCTTCCAGGAGGTCCACTTATCGACTTAGAATACGCAGATGACATAGTCCTGTTTGGTGAAGACGCTGACAAAATGCAGAGTCTTCTGGTAGCACTAAGCAACAATGCCAGAATGTTTGGGATGCGCTTCTCTCCCTCTAAATGCAAGTTGTTGCTTCAGGACTGGTCTGCGTCAACACCTGAACTAAGGATAGGGAGTGAAGTAGTCGAACGCGTTGACAACTTCACTTATCTTGTAGATCTGATCAGCCCTAATGAGTTGGTATCGGACGAAATCTCAGCACGGATTCGAAAAGCTCGCTTGACTTTTGCCAACTTACGTCACCTATGGCGAAGGCGAGATATCCGTCTATCAATTAAAGGACGAGTATACTGCGCGGCAGTCCGTTCTGTTTTACTTTACGGCAGCAAAACATGGCCATTAAGAGTAGAAGACACTCGTAAGCTACTAGTATTTGACCACAGATGCCTTAGAAATATTGTTGGCGTCTGCTGGGATCACCGGGTAAGTAATAGTGAGGTTGGACGCAGGGTATTAGGTTATGATGGTAAATCAGTTGATGAGGTTGTGAATCTTCATCGACTGAGATGATCGGGCCACGTGTTACGTATGCCTGAACACCAATTACCACGACGTGCAGTTCTAACGGGTGTTAGACATGGTTGAAAGAGAATTAGGGGCGGCCAAACCAAAACGTGGCATCAGTGCTTGAAGACACTAACCTCTTGTCTGAGCCATGTTGGTAGATGCAGACTACTTGGTTGGGGTCCGCGTGACTTTCGTAACCGATGGTTGGAGACTCTTATTGACATGGCTAAGAATCGATCACAATGGCGTCGGTGCATACACTCCCTATCTTCCTTTAAACTAAGAGATTAAAATCACTTCATATCTTTCTTTCTCCGAACTAATTCTTTCTTCTTGTACTGTATCCTTATATGCAATCTTTCTCCTATATATTACCACCTTTGACCTAACCACTCCTATGAATCCGGTGTTCATCTTGTTGTGTTAATGAGGTATGGCAACCTGGAACGATGCATATATGTGCCTGGTCCTACGTTGTAGCTGACTGACTGACGGACTGACTCGAACCCAGTACCGTTCGCTTCAAACACCATCACGTTATCCACTTAGCTACTGAGTCCTGATAGCCTCTTGCTTGTACAATGGGGTGAAGTTTAATTCACTTGGTATTGTTTTATTTGAAGCGAACGGTACTGGGTTAGAGTCCCAGAGTGAACATCAACTGTGAGATACAGGTACATCCAGCTGATGTGTTCCAAATAGGACGAAACACTCGTCCTGGATTCCACTGCTAGCCACTAACCATCTTTGTTTATAATGTTTGTAAATTAAGGTAATATCGAGTCAATAAGCACAGTGTGCACATATGCCAATAAGGGACTGATCAATTTCAGTCCTAAACATCAATGGAAATATTCAAGAAAAACAAGACCAAGGGGATTACTTGGTTCTTCTTTTGTTCTTGCATGTTCACAGTTCCTCATCAACACATCTTGATGCCTTAACACTGTAGACTGATCTCACACATTATTATTATTATTATTATTATTATTATTATTATTATTATTATTATTATTATTATTATTATTATTATTACGAACATGTTGTCTTCCAATTAAAATTTCCGCATGAAATATTAAACGTTGACACATTATTCACATTGTTTTCATCATCACGTAGTCCACTATGTTCGAATGATATGGTGATATCCATAGAATTGATATTGATCTGTACGTTGGACATACAATTATCATCATCATGTTGGGGATGTTAGATCCCCAGAACTCACTTGGTAAATGCCTTAATTTTGTAATTTTATCTTGAAAATTTGAATTTCTTTGTTTTCGCGCCAAGAGCGCTCTTTTTACCTTCAATGTCATATTTCCCACTTGGGAGAATCTTTAACTCTATTAGTCCGTTGTATATTTTAGTATGCTATTTTGTAACGCTTCCAAGGACAGTTTTATGCTGTATATATACGTTTGATTTGTGTCTGTTGTTATTGCTCGTGTTTGGAATATGCTTCCCTGTTCCAAACTTCGACTTCTCTCTAGTTAGCGGGGCTGGGTGGCATCGAATAGCTTAGCTTGTTGGTCTTTGGTCACAGAGTCTTTGTTCCGTTCGCAGACTAGGTGAACTCGTAATCGCTTTAAACATAGCACATCATCTTTAGGACACTTTTTATTAGGACTATGTAATACAGTCCCACAATTAACAGTATAATCACCATCAATTGCTTTTTCTTGAATAACTCCACTATAGCAATCATCATTCTCTCCATCAACCTGTTCTGAATCTGTACAACTTATATCAGAATAGTAGTTATTATTTTTAGTACCATTTAATATACTATTGCGAACACTTGTATACAGACTTCCATTATCCTGTATTTGACTGTCTTCTGTATTATCACTGGTGATAGCAGTGATGGCAGAATGAAGTTGGGCATAAAATTATCTATACACAACACATATCACATGTATTACAATAGGAAATCAATCCATGTTGGTACACAGTTATGCATATGTAACCAAGAGAATTATAAGTGTATATGCATATAAATAATGTGTATGTTTGTAAAGTATGTGTATATTTTGTTTGCATGTAACCGAAATGAAGATTTCCGATTTTAAATGCAGAAGGGACATGGAAAAGAAAAGGAAAAGATAGTACTATAGTGTATCGTTCGTCCTTCTATGTATGTATGCACGAGATTGTTCTATTATTACCATTACCACTACCACTCTTTTTATTGCTGTACTGTAATACGTAATATGCCTAATTTGAATGTAACATGGTTACCATGATTACGTAACAAGAACACGTTAAAAACAATGACACGGACAATACACAAGCAAGCTACATAGAACATAATTCGAAACTAATATTTGTATTCAATATCTTTTCCGATAAATAAAGTGTACTGATAACAGTACGTATATAAACAGAAGGGATAAATATTTCTCTGAAATCACTGTTACTGTGAAACTAATTTTGATAAAATTTCTTTCCCTCACTTGAGATATTATGGACAGAAAAACCAACAGAAAGCATTCAGCCCAATAAGCATTAGAGATGATCTTAGATTATCCTCTAATTCTGTCACGAACTAATTTAAGTTGAAAATATGAAATGTTGCATCCCAATTCAAAAATTTACACGTACACCGAGACCCACACGTCTTGGATCCGGTCTCAGTCAGAGTGATAAACAATCACTGTAAATGAGTTTGATACTATAAGCGAAAACGTTTTTCAGTACCCTTATCACTAATTTCTGATGATAGCCGTAACCAGAAATCACCACCAGTTATAAAACTATAGTTGGGTAAGATTGCAATTAGGCTAAGTCGTTCAAGAGAAAAAAAGATATTGTAAAAGGAAACTTAGTTACTGCACGGAGTAGATGGATTTAAAATCATTTAAATTTCGAAAGCACAAATTATGTACATTCAAAGAGTTGAAGTTCAATATCCATAAGTTACTTAGCTAAATAAACCCAACGGGAAAAACACACTTTTGAAAAACTACCACCATCCCTCTAAAATGAACGTTCCAATACATCCGTAGTTTCATACTACTTTAATTATTTCAAGTAATATAAATGGTCAAATATGATATAGCTGTGGTGGCGAGACTATAATTCATGGACGAACCAATCAGCCATAAGATAACAGATCTTGGATTTTGGCGCGAAATTCACTCATCAATTTGGCAAAATAGAGTTTTGGCATTATAGCTTATATCAGTTCGCGATGAAAACCCTGAATATTATTACTAACCTTAAACGTCAACTGTAAATCACACAGGTTTATAACGCTACATTTGGCCCTAGTTATTAGGTGGGCACTCTCAAGGTCACTCATAACTTATAGTCTCACCGCTGTGGTTCATAACACAAGAACAACAGTAACTAAATATGATCAGATCTGTATAACCATGTGAAGAGCCTAGATAAAATTGATTCTCACAACCCAACACACTATCATTCTCACAATCGATTGATCACTGGGTGGTGATCAATGCCATGTGTATCAAGTCCTTCTTAGTGCAGACCGAGTGCTATCGATCAAGTTGCAACTTGGTCGACATGACATTGATCACCACACAGTGATCAATCATTTATGAATACATCTCAGTCCTATAGGAAGTCAGTCGCGGCCAGGATAACCCAGTGGTAACATCTCTGACTGTGAAGCTAGGCAACACGGGATCCAATCCGTCAGGGAACATCAGTTCCTTCAAGATTACAGGTACACTTTGCTGACGAGTGCCAAATAGCACGAAACCCGAGTCTAGGGTTTCCTGTTGACTACCTTTAACCACCATCTTACACTATCATTGTGTTTAGACATCGTTTTATGGATAATGTTCTAAGACAAACTTAGTTGAGTGAACAATAAAAATGAGGGAATCTACAAAATTACAAATCAGTAACCAATTTCAAATCGATCATTAATCTAAAGAAATAAGTCAAAAAGCTATGAATTATCAACTGATCCATTTATCTTTATGTGCTAGACGAATTGAAAACAGGCATAAATAAATTACCACTAATAAGAAACAATAACACCTATAATCAATAAACGAAAAAGAGAACAATTTAAAACTTACTCATTCCATTTAAACTATTCAAATCATTTCCAACCAATCGATTAGCAGCATTGGTTTGCATATACATACTTGTTGGTTGTTCAATGATTTGATGGTGATGCTGATCAGTTGTTCCAGAATGATTATGATGATTCATACCAATACCACCGACAACACCAGTTTGAGGTATACAAGGTAGTAATAAACCATTTGGTAGTGTGGGGGGAGGTGGAGGTGGTAATGGTTGACCAATTGTAGATGCATAATCTAATTTACTTATACGACCATCCCCGATCCCACCAATACTACTAGCACATGTTGTACCGAATAACCGATTATTGTTATTATTTACAATGATTGAATTACTTTCTGTGGCTAAAGTATTACTATTATTGTTCATAGTATATTGTAATATGTTATTTGGATGATGCAGAACAGTATGATTGACGCCGACACCGCCAACATTTCCACCATTATTCGATAAACAATTATTATTATTATTATGTACAAAATTATCTGTTGTTGTAGTTGTTAACGTTGTTCTTGTATTAGGTGATAGCGTAGACAAAGATTGTAAAAGTTTTGCAGCTTCTGGAATATTCATTGTATTTACAACATTATAATTTAATAAACTATTCACTCCATGAGGATGAGGATTAGTACTTCCACATGTACCAATTAAAGAAAGTGGTGAATAAAATCCACCGGATTGATTAGGTGAAATCCCTGTTGTTTCAACTGTTAATTGCTTACAACATTGATGTTTAAAATGTAAATAATGTTTACATTTTCTCTGTACAATAATTATTATAGCTAGCAAGATGAATAAACAAAGTATAGCACCTAGTACATAAGATACAATGACAATAATTTGAGATAATTGTGTTGATGATGATGATGCTGACAGTGATGATGATGATGATGATGATGAAATTGATGTTGATGAAGAAGATGCAGAATAATAATTTTCATTATGATTACCAAGATTCTCTTCAGCTGAACGAATTTCATGATTTGATGTAAGTGACTTCTCGTTGCCTACACTCATTGGTGAATGAATTTCTGGATTCATAGGTTTATTAGCTAGAGGAGGAAAAAAGTTACTTGTTTAAAAAACGAAAGAAAAGTAAGAACGATCCATAATCATTAATCTGATAGAGGTGCACACCGATCTGAACCAAAGCAATAACTGACCCTTGAATCTACCAATTTACCTAGTCTTGTGGAAAATGTTATGTTGGTTACATAAAGCGTGTTCTTTTGAAACATATTTATGCACTAATATTCATGACTATCCTTACAATTACCTTACCATACATTAACAAGTTTGAATTGAACTTCAACCGAATATCTTTAAATATGGTGCTAGAAATTAATTAGCAAATTAGCAAATCATAGAACTTGTAGTAAACGTATAAGTGTAGTGAAACATTGATCAATGACTTCTCTTCAAATATGATACGTACATGTAACTATTCACTAAAATAACTAATCAATATATAAGGGGTTTCTGTTCACAGATATCATTGATCTGCTCTATATCCTATCCCTCTTTCTATCGGTTGTTATGCATATTGTAAAGGGTAAAGCATATACACATTAAAGTCAAGTTACAATATGGTCATGTTATTCTTACAATACTTTATCGATAAATGTATTGAATGTAACATTCAGTTTGTAATAACCTGAAATTAACACATCACGAACAATAATCCAAATGAATCTATATTCTGATATTAAATGGTTGAAAGTAGTCGGTAGAAAATCATGTTCAATTTGAAATTTATAGTGATTAATACTCGTCACATCATCACTAGAACATACTTTCAATGCTATTCTTGCATATCCAAATCTCAATCCTTCAGCTTCCCAATCTCAAATGTGGGACATGACCTCGAGCCCAGTAAGAAGTAACAGTTCTTACAAATTTGCAAATACTATTTCATCACTAAACAAAGACAACATCTCGTTTTTGCGGAACATACATCAAATATGCATATTGTTTTCACGTAATATGTATTATATCATTAATGTTATGAATATTTTCCAAAATATTAACACAACAAGTCGGATGAAGTAAGTATATAAAAACAAAGTATTCTAATTAGACTTAATTTATTATATTAATGAATGTGTGAATATTATTATTTCTCTATTTCTCTATCTATCCAGAATGTATTTTTATTTTATCGATCTGTCGCATTTTAATCTGTCTGATTTACCACTTTCACTCTCACTCACTCACTCACTCACTCACTCTTTCTCTCTTTCTCTCTCTCTCTCTCTCACACACACACACACACCTAAACAGGAAGAAGACCCTTGGAAAATAAGAATATGTAGAGATTAGAAAAGAAATAATAAGAATTCATAGTAAGTATAGTTAGTAGTAATGATTATCAATAATTAGGTCTTAACACATTCATGAAAGAAAAGACAATAGAGATGTACATAGGAAAGAAAACAAAGTAACAAAGGAACTTGATAAAAGGATATAGACAATAAAGATCTGTTTGAAATCTACGCTTTATTTATGTTGTTGTTTCTTTCTAACGGATATAGATTCGAAACCATACTACCTAGAAGTAAATTTAGAGATTTTATTACGCAATTTGAAATGAATAATATGAAGTTCATCAGTTGAACTGGTTAAGACATACTCTACACATGACTAACCATCGTCTAGTCTGATTTTCAATGCTAGTCAACATGGGGGTAGGTTGATAAACATAAAGAGTAGATCAAACCAAAACATATGAGCCAGTCCTATAACTTTAAGTACCGTGGCAATTAGCCGTGTCACTCGAAGTAGGCACCTGGAAAAGGATGATGAACGAATAGTTTGACAGGAATCGGGAACCGAGTATAAACAATATATCATTTGTGAAACATTTGTTCAAACAAGTTTATTGAACGAAACGTTGAAATTATTTAAATTTCAACCAATGAGATTATCCAATATAAAATTTTCAATAGAACAATGAGAAAATGGAGTTGATCTGAAAAATGTGATGTATTTGCGCTATACATTTCAAACAATCTGGTCACACATTAATACAGCTTTTAGAACGTTGTATAAAAATTGTCAAGAACGAATTCTCAAGTTTATTGAAACCTTGGCTATTCGTAAATTTAAACCCCTGTTATGTGTACAAAAAAATTGTCGTAACCTTGAACTTACTTTGGTAATCCTTAAGTCATTCTATGGCCTAGGATAACACAACAATTTCTTATTCTTTCTATACGATGCAAAGTTGTTTCTCCCGCCCGCCCCCCCCCCTTTGTTACCTTTTTTTACTTGAACTTTCATTTAATTGACCTTTATTAATTTTCATATAAAATTCCCTGACAAGTGATCTAGTTGGTTAAGCGCCTGACGTGAGACTGATAGGTCCTGAGTTCGAATCTCGCGGGGGGGGGGCGTGATCGTGGATGCGCACTGCTGAGGAGTCCCATACTAGGAAGAAATGGCCGTTCAGTGCTCCCAGGTTTTCCATGGTGGTCTAACTTCAGTTGGCTCGTGATTTCAATCTGTGAAGTATACGTGTGACTAGATTGTTCGAAATGTATAGCGCAAATACATCACATTTTCCATATCAACCCCATCTCCTCATTGTTCTATCGAAATTTATAAAATGGACTAATTGCCATAAAAATTTTCACAAATAATGTTTACCACATCTCTGTGCCTACATTCAATCTCAAGGGCAAACGATAAGTGAAAAATTATGAACCAACTACACCACTGAAGGCTTGTCATTCAAAATTCCTACATATTTCATATTTCTTTTTTTTGCGTTTCCATAGTAGATCTAATATCTCGTAGGAAACAATAACACGTAATTGAATCAAGTAACAGGATACAATGTGTGTGCCAATATGAGATGTGTCAGTTCATGTATTAAATGATAACTGGAGTGATTTAAATTAATCAGTAGTATAAAATTATAATTCAAAATTTCTGGGTATTATCAGTTTTATTTTTCATTGGAAACTTTTGTTTCTTGTTTCTCAATAAATTTTTTCAAAGAAGTATTAAAACGCATATTATTGTAGACAAGTGTAGACATATATACACACTTAAATTTATTTCTGCAATATAGATCCTTCTACAGAAAAATTTCGCTGTTACTACTCAGAGACAGAAATAACATGTGAAACTTGGAAGGGTACAAACACAGACACTATGATATGTTGTTTTTAAGGGATAGCGGACTTGTTTTAAAAAAAAATCTGTTTACGTCACCAATATTACCACCCCACCCCCCTTCCACTAGGGTTTTTAAACTTTGTTTTACTTAGAAGAGAAATATTTAAATTTTTCTACAAATTATCTCAATTCTATGAGTCGGTTTTTACTCATATTGATGTGTAAACACACATATATGTGAAGAGAGTTTTTATCTTATCGTCTGGTGAAAGTTGGTTTGTTTTGATTTATAATTGTATCTAACCGCATACCCATCTATCTATATTTATCTATCTACCTATCTACTAGCTTACTAACCTTCCTAACTATCTATCTTGACTACATAGATCTTGTTTTGGGAAGAGAAGATAATAACAATTATATATAAACGGCTGACAATATTCGCATGATGAAAATGATAATCACCATTGAATTATAATTGAGAATTCGATTTTCATCGTAAACTGATATTAGTTCAAAATGTAATTTGAAAAAAGGAGGAGGACATTTCATTACATAGTTTGGAACTATATAGCAACAATGGGGACTCATAAGTGCATATATAGAATTGAACGCACTGAAGGGGGTGGAAGGGTAACTGTCACACGATGAATAACATGCAATTCAACCACTAACTAGTCAAAATCCAATAATCTTCACTTTATGCATTAGTTAATTTATAATACCCACTTGAATTTCATTTAATATTATCAGTGACTTATACTCCCTCATTCTCAACAACTTAACTAATACATCATAGAAGCAAAGTTCCTTATTGGCATTAGAAACAAGTCAATATTTGTTATATGAAATATATAATTATTAATGCCAAAGTTCCATTGATAAATTTCTTAGCATTCTTTTTAGTGCTCAGTAGAAAGTACGTCTATAAGTTGTAGACAAGGTAAGTACTTCTAACAAGTTTATGAGTGTTTGTTATTCTATGCATCGGATCTGTTGACAAAATGAGTAGTTTATTAGTTTGAGTTCGATTACATTTGAGTATTTTAATTTTTAAGTTATTAGAGTTGTAGTACATCATGAGTGTCAGTGTGAAACGCTCAAAGTGACCAGTTTGAAATGATCATTCGAAAAGAACAGAATTTATATATAAGAAATGTTAATCAAAAAAATCAGTGTCCTTACGAGATTTAAAACACCGCATCACGTGAACTGTTGTAACTAATCTATAAATTACGATAACATTACCTTAACATTGAATGTTTGAGATTTAATAAATGAGTAAAATGAAAATGTCCCAATGTAATCCATGCTTGTGTTGATTATTTGCATAAGATAGTGGTTGTCTGAACTCAGTAGATCAATGGATAATGTGATGGCGTGTCATGCTAATATTACTGGGTTTGAGTCCCGGAGTGAATATCAACTCTAGAATGGAGGCACACCCAGCTGATGAGTCCCGAATAAGACAAAACGTGTGTCCTGGATTTCACTGCTAGCCACTATTCAAAATAATGTTTCTCTCTTGGATAAGAAAAAGAACCCTATCATCTTAACACAAACTTTTTTTTTCAATATCCGAGATACTTATACTCCTTTTACTCTACTCCACTTTCTCTAACTTGTAAATGAGGAAACCTGAAATAGTGGATTGATAAGAAAATAAATATTGAACATCCACAACATCATTATGATTGTACTAATTGTACATCAACACACAGATAACACTGAAACAAATCTATTCATCAATTTCAATTCATCTGTGTTCAATTATTGAATTTCCTGTTATTACGTCTGAGAGATTGAATACTATCTACTACTTAAAAAAATCTTTATAATTTAGATTGTGTTAAGTTTTTCAAAGAAAAAACCACCTAACAATAAATGTAAAAACAAAAGATTTCGTGTTAGTTTCTTGTTAAAAGAGAGTAACAAAATGATAGTCTTTCATAATGCGAATAACTATACATACACATACATACATCCCCTTTCATAAGTACACATATACAAACACATAGATACTTACATTAAGGAAGAAGTATATAATATTCAACGAAATGACGCAATCCCACAAATAACAATGAATGATGCATATGAATAGTTTAAAAGAGAGAGAGAGAGAAATAAACAGAGTCAGCCACACATGATGATGATGATGATGATGATGATGATGAAGATCAAGTATATCAATAGTTGATTTCGTGTTTGTTTATACTTCTTATCCAAAATTAAGTTATTTCCGATTTATACCTTAATAATAGTAGTCTTTATTCCATACAGATATGTAAGAGATGAATAATAAGTAGTTCGTTTATTATTATGAAGAGAGACTGGGAGTGTGAGAATGAATGAGTGAATAGGAAAATAAAGAGAGGCAACAACAATACCACCACAACATCACCGGACAGTTTCATCATCCATTCATTCATAAAGACATCCGTCAAATTAGAGGTACAAGTTCAGAAACACTGAGACATCATATGTGCATGCATATGTAACTAATCATAGCAACTATAATATTTAATCACAAAGTATGCGAAGCAGGCTTTAGATTTGCATTCTAGTGTTTAAATATATATATCAGTTTGCGGTTGTGAAGATTGTTAAATTTCATTGAAATCATGGACCGATCAATGTTAGACCACCATTTCAAACCTACAAGCATTGGACGGTTGTTCCGCCCTAGTATGTGCACTTCCGAATCTACCACGAAGGATAAAACCGAGAATCTTCGGTCTTACTCATGAAATCTTAACCTCTAGACCACTGAGCCAGCATCCAACAGTTTTAATGTCTAACTTCAACCAATCCACGATTTCGTGCGACCATCTTGACCGATTCATGATTTCAATGAAATTCAACAATATCCACAATTTTGAACTGAAAATTATCACTATATATGTATAAACACGTTTACATTGAGCAAGTGTATTGTTGCCATCAATCAGACTATATCTACTCACCCATTTAATACATATTAGTAAGATAATTTAATTAATTATACAAAGGATAAACGAGAGAAAGAGAGAGTAGAAACAGCACACAAAGAGAGACAAAGAACAGGAACGTTACACAAAGAAAAGAAAAAATAAATTAGATTAAAAGAAAAACGAATAACAGGAATATAGTAGTAGACATGCGCAGTATGCATTGATATTATATATATACGCAAGAATATTTCTATATATATGTAATTATGCAACACAGAGGAATGAATGAATAAACAAACGAATACATTTATTCTTAATTTGACCATATGTAACCAAAGCAGATTAATCAAAGTTTCTGTTTGATAAATTCTACTTCCGATACATGTAAAACGTGAGAGGATGGGAGGTAAAAAGTTATTAGTATGATTATGAACCAAACAAACAGAAAAAAACTAATTAGAATCCCATCATTATCAAGTACCAATTGGTTGTTCGTTATTGATCAGTGTAGGTATTGTGATGTATGCTACTTATGCGGACAGATATAAGTAGTATGAGTTGAAGGTGGAATGCTTACTAGTAAAAGATTGGAATAAAGAGAAAAGGAATGAAAACAGAGCAATCGGTATAACAACAAAATTAAAAGAATGATAGAGTATGGTACAGGAAAACTGAAGAAAAATATCCAAATGATACATTTAATGTATGTTTTTATATCTTACGAAAACAGTGAATTAGTTCATCGTACCTGAGTCTTCGTTCACTATAATGTAAAAAAATGATTCCAAAAGGATTATAGTCTAAAGAAGTTTGGAAATATCTAATAAACTAATATTCACTATGACGAAGATTAAAAGATCTCAAGCATTGGAATTCACGACAGATTGAAGTAATTATAGTCAGTATAATCGATGTGGAACTACTTTAATTAAATCTATTCATATTTTTGATTGTTGATTTATATGAGATGAAAAATTGTCCTATTAACACTGTGATTCATGCTATAGTGATCAAGAACTCAGATGAAGACAACCAATTTACTATTTAACACAAAATTACAGAACTTCTTGAAAAAAATATAAGAACCATCATTTGTCCTTCACATTCTATATGATTCTTCCAAGTAACAATTCCTTTCTATTTCCCTTTATATTCTTTTCAACTCTATCTTCTTAGCTTTCTGCTGCTAAGTTTTCCATTTTCGATTAGTGTTACATACTACTTATGTCAGTTGACATAAGTAGTATACACCAGATTGCTACTGCATAAATCGTTCAATATCCAAGCATACACAGTTTGAAAGAAACAGATAAAATTAAAAAGTGAAAGGTTTCCTCCTGACTGCTACTAACCACCTAGCATTGAAACAATACAAGCGATGCTGAATCATTTAGATTAATGGTTAAAGTGCAACTTGATCGACAGAATATACAACCAGTACTAAAGGTCAACACAAACATGACATGTGTCACTACTCAGTAATCGATCAATGTCAATATCTCAGCTCTATAAGAGGCGAACTAAGACCAGTATAATTCATTTTTAACGTCTAAGACTGTGAAAGTGAATGATATGGGTTCAAATCCTACAAGTAGTACCATATCTCGCTAGTTAATATCTGCTAGTACAAAACTTGGATCCATCATTTCCTACCAATTACCTTCAACAGACTAACAGTGAGAAGTGTGAAATGATGCTTGTAAATAATCAATATATCTACAGCACTACAATAAACTTTAAACTTTTTCCAAGAAAAGTTTTTCTTCTATATTCACTGTCAAACAAGTTCAAACTTAACGACGTTGTTACATAAATTTAAAATATGAAAAAAACATGTTGCACAAAACATAATAAGAATTAAACTTTCAAATTGTGGATAACAGTTTTATCCATTAAAGGATTTTCTTTCTTTACTATATTTCAACGATGTAGGTAACAATTTATACTCAAATTGGGTTGAATTTCAATTCTACAATCTATTCAAAACTTAAATCTTGTTACCAATCATAAACTAGTCGGTTATTTCATGTTATAAGAAAAATATTATAAATCTCATCTAGTATTATAATCTTAGTTAACCACGAATAGATTGTTGTTATACTCACTGTCTAATGAGATTTCAGTTAGTCAATCAGTCATTAACAACGTAGGACGTAGAACATAATATGTATATCGCCACAAGTTATCATACTTCGCGTCAGTAAAGATGTAGTTATCAAGATGAACGATTAAATAATAGAAGTAGAAACAGTATCAGTAGTATTATAAAGTATTAGATATAGGTATAGAGAAGAAATGTATAGGAGAATTCTTAAAATAAAAATAAAAGTAAAGAGTGAATGAATAGATCTATATCAATGAGACCGACTATGATCCATGTCACTCTTCTTCTCCACTCACTGGTTACAAAATCAACCCAACCACAACTTGATAGTTTACACCTATCAACACAGCTTGTTCTAATATTCACTTACTTCATAAGTTGATACCATGTGTTGGTTTGATCGTTCATAGATCTCTTCTAGTCTATACATAAATTAGCAAACATTACAAGAATGAAGATGGTAAGACACAAGTAATACGTGTTCCAACCAATTTAATCGATGAAGATTACCTATCACATCAACCCTATTTCTAATATTCCCTTAGTAATCTGCTTCTGATATCAGTATTACTCACTCGATAGTCCCAAAATATACTAGTAATGCCTCGAAACCATCTGTCGTCAAATAATATTAACCTAAAATTATCCTTTATCTTTGAAGGTCATGTATCATAGCAGAACGAACTCATAAAGTTGTCCTTTAGTTGGAAGGATATCTCGCTTACGTCACAGATAATCCTTCTGAATCCATACTGAGATTTTGTTAGACATCAACCCATTAAGACCGGTGAGATCTTCAAGCTTCGATGCAATCCATAAACTCTTAAATAAACTCTTCATGATTAACTATTCAAAACAAAAACATATAGAACATAGTTTAAATATACAAAGTAATACTCTAGTAGACGAAACTTCACTATCTTAACTATCAAACATTCATTTCAATTAGAAACGACATCCAATTAAGAGTAATAATAATTTCGATTTCTCGTCACTAAAAACAATGACACAATACACATCTCAGTAGGATTCAATTTCAATTCTATAATTTATTCAAAACCTTAGTCTACATCTGTAGTGGATGCTATTCACAAAGTTATTTGTAACTAATATGTAGCGGAACGTGATATCAGAGTTGCTATAATTGTCAGATGAAGTTAAGAGTTTCAGTGTATCAAAAACGGTGTTGGAATAACACCGTGAAGACTAGACGAGAAGACGGTCCAGACTGCAGAACATACAGAAAGATGCAAATGGAAGATTGAAGGTTATGTATACATATATATTTAATGTAGATACTTTGTACCTTTTCGTAACAAAAATACATTTCTCTTGCCTATTGTCATGCCTTACACATCTACACTCACCACCACTCAGAGTAATATATGTATATGTGTATGGAGAGAGAGAGAGAGATGTTGCGAAAAATCTCTAACCAAAATGAACATTTGTAACAACATTACCCCAAAAAACAAAACTTACAGTTTCTTATATCTTGTTTATTTAACATTTCTGAATGATCCCCTATTCTTGGTGAAGCACGAAATGAATTTTCATCTGTATTGAATAATTTCTTCTGAGAATTATCTAAATGATTAGAAGTATCATCATCAGGTGGTTTTTTCATTGATTTATTATTATTATTAATCTCTTCATTGGATAATAACGGTAGTAGAGATTTAGGCTGTACAATAGCTATATAGTGTATTATATAAATAAAAGAACACAATGATTCGTTACATTCATCTTTTAAACAATGAAGAAAAGGCAAAATTAAGAATCCTTTTTACAAGAAAATGTTATATTCAGTCAATCCTGATGTATATATAATTAGATAGATTAAGGTTAAGAAAATGAATTAGTTATCAGTATGGGGTTGTGGAGATTGTTAAGTTTTTGATTGAGATCACGAATCGATCGATGTTAGAAGACCATTGGATACCTGGGGGCACTGGACGACCGTTTCGTCCTAGTATGGGACTCCTCAGCAGCGCACACTCACGATTCAGAGTGAATTATGATCAATCTTTATTGATGTATATCCCTCCTATAGGAAGATTACACCTCAACAATATAGCTATTTTATCATAGGATTATTTTCTAAACGGGATAGATACAGCATTGAACATTTCAACAACAGGAAATTACTGATTCTTACTAACACCTAAATACTCATTGAACAAGCTAGTGGATAAATAGACTCATTAGCTCAATGGATAACCCATTGATGTTTGAAATGAAAGGTACTCAGTTCAATCCTCTATAACAACAATGACACAGGGATATGTGTACATCCAGCTGACGAGTCCTAAATAGGACGAAATATGAGCTTTGGATTATATTGTTACCTAAAATCTATCTATCTTAAATGGGAGAAATTTTGAAGATATTTATGGAGATCAAATTAAATATCAATGCGGACTGATATAAGTTGAGAAATCATTGAAAATAAGATTGTATCGAACAGCAGTTCCTTATTCATTTTAGGATTATTCAGTAATAAAAACATAACAAATCTTATATCTAATATGTAGTTGGCGCTTAAATTACCCCTTTAACTTCTTAAACTGAAGTGAATTAAGATTTGATATTGTACAAATCATCGCTCAGTGTGGATATGTACGTGTGTACATTCATCTGAACCAAACACAAACCTGATTAGGAACTATTTAAATCGGGACAATCAACATACATCAAAATTAGTTTACACATTCTTACATTAAAATAGAATTCTCTCATAAAACCGTTCATAGTCATTACCGATTCCCAGGATCGAATTGACATGTAACGTTATTTTTTTTTCTAATAAAAAAATCTTAACGAATAATATTATTTGTAGGATAGAAATCGTGAGAAAAATGATAAACAGTTATGGTGAAATATATATATCGTTGGATAATAATAATAATAGTCCATGATTTATTGAACACAGATGTAACTTTAATGGTTGAGATCATGAGTCAATTGAAGCTAAATCACCATGGAAAAACGTGGACGCACTGGACGGTCATTTCGTCCCATTATGGGACTCTTCAGCATTGAGCATCCATGATCCCACCTTGTGAGATTAAAACTCAGGACCTACCAGTTTCGCGTGCGTGTGCTTAACCACTAAACCACTGAGCCGGCATCCAATGGTGTTAATGTCTAACTTCAATTAATCCACGAAATTAATGGCGGTCTAGCAGCTTCAATTGGCTCATGATCTCAACAATTAAAATTACTATAATATTCACAAAACCTCTTCTGATACAAATGTAACTGTTATTTATTGACAATGAATGATGCAATAATTTGTCATTTCATTGTAAGAAAATTAAATACGTTATTTTATTAGTTAAATTCATAAGTCGATGTAAGCTAGACCACTATTGAAAACCTGTAAGTAGTGGACGGTCGTTTCGTCCTGAATGACGGGTTGCACAAGATCATAGGTCGATTAAAGTTAGACAATAACACCATCGGATCACGAACCAATAGTCTAAAGGTTAAATAATCATGCGCGAAATCGAAGGTCCTGGGTTCGAATCCCTTTGGTGTGAGATCGTGGATGCACATTGTTGAGGAGTCCCATATTAGGACAAGACGACTGTCCCGTACTTCCAGATTTTCAATGTTGGTTTAGATTATATCAACTCATGAATTCAATTATTAAAATTACTATAATCTCCACAAACCTCAGATCGTAAAATAGAATACATTACTCTGAGTACTGGAAATTTTATTAAATGATACATAATTAAGCAAAAGGTAACAGAAAAGAAATTCTGAATATATAACGAACAATTAAACAAAAACATAAGATTTAACTCAGATTTAAAAAAAGGTTTACAAAAAGATAACTTATTTGTCCAAGGTCCGTGTTTCTGTGTACTGTTTGTATGTACGTATGTATGTATGTATCAAATAGTGGACAAATAAAGTAATGAAATGGAAAGAAATATTCGATAAAAAGTCTAATCAAATCAAGTTTATGCTCAAATGTAACAGTAGAGTAGTAAGATCATGTAGAAAAGTATATAATCAACATCTTGAAGACAAATGTTGTTAAGGTTTTAGTTATCCCAACTAGTTATAATAATATCTTATCTCCTTTAAAATACTCCCTTTTTCTGATAATATATATATATATATCTTAAATTCGTTTCTATTATTGAAAACATTCCTGAAGGTGATCTAAAGATAGCCTCCTTTGACTATTTCAATATTCCACATTTTAATGCACTCGAATAACAACTTTGCATCCCGAGAATGAAGTTACATCCAGTGTTAAGTAGAGAAAGAGAGAGGGATCCAGAGTGACGGCTGAATTACAGGTCAGAAATTCGTAAGTATTTACTCCTGATACGTAAGCTCATTTTCAGATATTCAGCGAATAGAACATGTAATACTTATAGGGGAATTATAGCTATCACCGATTAGTAGTTGAATAAAGAGAGGCTACTACGGTCATAATAACTGGAAATAATGGGTGTCAGTCATTTATTTATTTATGTCCATAACTAACAAACTTAGCAGCTTAGTTCGTTATTTTTTGAAAAAAAGCATCATGGAAATTTGGAAAAGTTAATACAGTTGCTCGCTAACTTCAGTCATCCGCCTCCTGGTCATATTATCTGACTAGTTAGATTGTATGATGATTGTTATCGAAATACACATGTCGCCAACCCTCGTAATTATCGACTTAATTCGCGTTAGAGAATAACGGAATAAGTCAAATATGAGAATGAATTCCGAATACGTATATTTTGTACACTCATTGATCCAAACAGATGAACAGAGAAACGAAGTAAAGGAAGAGGAGCGAAACTTAAGAAAACGGAGAATGTCTTGACGAAAAACTGAGAACGAAGAGATGCGTGGTGGAGAAGTCGAGTGAGACAACTCAATTTAACCAAGCGTAATTCAATATTTATAGTCAGACCAAAATTAAGTTACAGACAGGTAATGAATAGGGTGAGCAATTAACACACGATCATATAAACAGTCAGGATTAATAAGCGAATAATCAACAAGGTCATAATGTGGCTTGAGAAGAATGGATAAATTGGTCTGTACAGAAGCCAGAATAACCTATGTGGGTTTTACATGGTAGCAAACATTACGATTCCAGGAAAACTAGTAATTTCACATACACACATGCACATAACAAAAACTCATAAAAACTACTTACTTGAATTAAATTGTACTTCAGATAATAAAATCCATGAGTCAGTTGATGTTAAAGTCAAACTAACATAACGAGCTCTATAACTGGCTAATGGGATTTGTACTACTAATGCACCATCCCATTCATGATTATTATAAATTATAGTGTCTTGAATTAATCCATTGTGCATTGAATTTGATGTTCTTTTCAATCTAGATAATGATGATGACGATTGTATATCATTATCAGATATAGACAATCGTGTTGGATTAATTTGACTTGGATCAATTAGACGAGCATGATTTGTTGAAATTTCAATGGATTTATCAAAATTCTTTCCATCCATACTGAATTCAACGATAGCTTGTGAAAATACACGTGATTTCAATGGGACAGAGTCGAATGTGAATATACGTAACCAAATAAAAGTTCGAACTATAGAAATAAAGAAAACAAATAAGTTAGAAAAATGTTTTAAAAGTTATGAAATTAAAGAAATTTATCATTATTATTACTATTAAACTGCAAGGTAAGCCCTCATTTGGAATCCTCAAAGCCAAAGGAGGAGAGGAAGACCAAAGAACACAATACACCGAGAAATGAAGACAGACAGACATGAGAAGAATGAACAACAATTGGATAGAACTAGGAAAGAAGACTCAGGATAGAGTGGGCTGGAGAATGCTGGTCGGAGACCTATGCTCCATTAGGAGTAACAGACGTAAGTATTTATTTAGATTTATGCATAAAAATGTACATATGTAAGTAACTTGACGGCAATTATTTATTTAAACGTATAAACATTGGTACAATGAGGCACCCTATAAATATGAGCCACACTTCGTCATTCGATTTATGTGAGGGCTAGAATACTGTCTGGGCACCAAAACTGAAGCAGGATAATTAAGTTACTAAAACATGGATTTAGATATAAATCGATAGATGTCTCAAAGTCAAGCTAGATAGCATAACATAGTTTTCCTTTGTCTATCTACAATATTAAAACTCAAAGATGAGTTATGAAATGCATGTATGATTTCCATCGCACGACTGAAGAATCAAAGAAGTACTGGGCAGCTAATTTGTCTTAGTACGGAACTCTCTTCAGTAGTGTACACCAACGACTAGACAAGGAATCTAACCAACAACTTTCAGACCACACAGAAAATGGGTTTAACAGAAATTTGTAGCCAATTCAACTCATAAAAGTTAACTACAATAAAAAAAAAGAAGTTAGTAATTTACACAAAAAAAACACAGATTTACCTTCATCAAATTTAAAAACAATGCGTAAATTCTTATTTGGAACATTCCAACCAATAAAATGAAAACCAGGTTGAGCTGGATGAGAATCTGAATGTTGAGTAACATTGCCTAAATAGGCAATATTATCCATTAATTGACCTATTCCACCGACTAATTGATTTTCTAATTCAATCAATTGACCATCATAAGTTAAATCTTGAAAATTTTGTGGAATAGTAGAATAAGGTGAACCGAATAATAATTGTTGACCATATGTGATAGTATCACCTTGTGGCATTGAATAAGATATGACACCATCTGTAATGATAAATGAATTTACATTATAATTTATAGAAATATTAAAGGTTATAATATTCCATTTGATAGATAACGATTGTGGTTGAAAGAACCCCTTTAATAACAAAAAACCTCTATGTTATTACTGAAATCAAGCGCTTCCGAACAAGATAACACAACCAACTTGAAAATCCGAACTGTAAGTTAATCATCACTAAAGTGGAGTCTGGTATAAGTGTGTGTTAACCATAGCAGTTGTCATAATATATTAGCATGAAGAGATGAAATAAACAAGATGACTAGTAACGTAGTTAAAATAATGTTGTAACAATCGAACCAAAACTGAAATTCATATTCAATTAGTGAGTATTGTATCAGAGGGTTACTGTCTAAATAGGAAATATGTAAATAACCTTATCAACACAGACCAATCGCCAGTTTTAATTCCAACGATATCTCAACTAATGAGATACAAGGAACTAGTACATTGATGAAACTGATTTTATTCTTTACCAACTGATCATTTGTGAGAAAAACTCTTCATTTTAAGATTTACAAAATTGACATTATTTAACACTTGATATAATCATATATCTTATCCACATTGTCGTATTGGGTTCTAAAACTGATTGACTAATTTACGTTTCGAGAAACCATGTACTACTATGAGGGATTCATTGAACTCCCATTATTTACGTCATGCATTAATCTCGGTTGGACAGCTATTGAATATAAGGAAAAAATAGGATAGTTCAGTGATTTGAAGATTAATAAAGCGTTCGTCCTGAGACCTGAAAGTCCTGATGTTCGATCTAAGGTGAAATCGTATGGATGAACGCTGTTGAAGAATTCCATAAAGAGAAAAAACAACTGTTCAATGCTTTGCAGTATCGAATGGTAGTCTAAGATTAGTCCGTGATATAAACCATGAAAATTCAAGTCTTCACAAAACCTATACAATAGTTATTGGATTCAAAATCCATGGTTTGTAATATATTTATGTATCAGTATAGAGTTGTGGAGATTATTAAGTTTTTGATTGAGTCAGATCGCCATTGAAAACCTGAAAGCACTGTACGGCCATTTTGCCCTATTGTGGGACTCATCAACAGTATAAGTGATCAGTGTTTTTCCGGCACAACAATCAGCGACGACCAGTTATAACAAATTCGAACCCAGGGCCTTCAGTCTCGCGCGCGAACGCTTAACTTCTAGACCACTGAACCCTTATCCAATGGTGTTAATGTCTAACCTCAACCAATCCACGATATTTTACGACAATCTTCCATTGTATTGAGGTAGATACCTGTCTTTACTCGACACGGATTAGCTCCACTGGTCACAGTTTCTCACTAAAACTCCGAGAATCCCCTCATGAAGCTAGTCACTAGTGAGCACATGGTAATTATCAGTATAGGATTGTGGAGATTATTAAATCCCATAATAGGACGAAACGACCGTCCAGTGCTTCCAGGTTTTCAATAGTGATCTAACATCAATCTGTTGATGATCTCAATCAAAATATATGTATGTCCTGAGGTTTTGATTCTCCTACATGACTTTCATGTGATGAGCACCAATTGAAAATTTCTGAAAGACAACAAAATTATCTATGTAGTGACTATTTGGTTACTAATATTACTCTTGTTATTGATGACAAACTGTGAAGAAGAATATTTTTTTAATTGAGTGAATTGCTTAAACAAAAAAACAAACAATAATAGTTTGATTATTAGACTTTAACATCTGATTGTATCATAAGAAATAACTTGAAAATATACACCGCTGAGAAATGATCTTAACGGATTCATGTTGATTGAATGACATATGATACAATACTATTTGATAATCATAGTGACTAACACACAAAACTGAACAATCTCTTATTTTACATAATAGATGGTATATACATATCAGAAACATTGAATATGTATAAATTTTAAACAATCAAACAAACGAGTAAACATTATAATAAATAAATAAATAACACATTTATGTAATAGTACTTAACTGACTCATTATTATTATTATCAGAAGGGGTTTTGTGAATATTATAGTAATTTTAATAGTTGAGATCATGAGTCATTCGAAGCTAGAACACCATGGAAAACCTGGAAGCATTGGACAGCCGTTTCATCCTACCGTGGGAGTACTCCTCGATAGTGCGCATCCAAGATCCGGCCCAGCGAGATTCGAACCCAGAACCTATCAGTCTCTAGCGCGAGCGCTCAACTATTAGACCATTGAGCAGGTAGTCTCGTGAGCGGGACTAATAAGTCCTGGGTTCGAATCTCGCGAGGTGGGATCATGGATGTACACTGCTGAAGAGTTCCACAATAGGGCAAAACGGCCGTCCAATGCTTTCAGGTTTTCCATGGTGATCTAGCTTCAACTGACTCATGATCTCAACTATTATAATTCATTATTATCACTATTCTTATCATATATTTAATCAACCTGCAATGAAAACATTTCCCTCCTTATTCTTCCTCCCTCCCTCAATTCTCTTCACACACACAAAAAAACTCGATTACTATAGGATTCTGAAAAAAACTATCTATCGACAAATGTCAGTTAATTATTTGTATAAAGTAACTCTCTCTTTGATTAAAATGTACAAAATCTCAAATATTTTGATTTAGAAAGCGAGAGAAAAGAAGACAGAAAGAAGAAAAGTATTTTTTTTTTCATACAAACATGATTTGATTGAAATAAACAATTTACTAATTAGTAATCAAATTAGTAAATGTTCATATTTTCTTAGTAATATGCACATAATAATTAGAACAATTGAACGAAAAGAAAAGAAAACAACAATCACAGCAACAACAACAACAGCAACAACAACAACAAATAGGATCGGTTGAAAGAATCTGATTGGTTGAATGTGTTAATACTTTCATTGTTTGCTAACTTAACTGATTATGAATATGATATGAAAATTGAAGATAAGTTTCTCAGTAATATATTAAGATTCTAGTAATCTATCAAGAGGTTCAAGTTAACGTTTTATATTAGCAAAAGTAATTCGAATTAATTCAAAGAAACTTAACTTATAAATGAGTAAAAGATACATATATCTTCTCCGTTTAACTTGACCTATGATCAAGTCTTTTGATTGTTAGTTCGAATTTTGTCCGTTTCCCGTCAGCATAATCTGCGCTCCATCGCAAAATACTTTTCTTATTCATAACTCTACGTACATCTTTTTATTTGACATTACATTCTTGATAATAGTTACTGTTATTATTACCATTATTATTATTATTATTATTATTATTATTATTATTATTGTTACCGCAATTCATATTCTCATTTAAATCATGGATCGATCTAAGTTAGACCACCATTGAAAACGTGGAAGAATTGGACGGCCGTTTCGCTCTAGTTCGAGACTCCCTAATGGTGCGCACCCATGACCCCGTAGAAGAAAATCGAGACTGAATGTCCTAAGTTTGACTCATGCGTGCGACGTTGTGATTGTTCGCCACTGAGGAGCCATATGCTAGGACGAAACGACCGCCCAGTGCTTCCAGATTTTCAATGGTGGTCCAATTAAGATCAGTTAGTGATGTTAACTGTAGAAATACTACAATCTCCGCAAGTCCTCCATATTCGTCTTGTGATGGACTACATGCCACAGAATGAGTCGAATGATTCATTCCGTTCTTGTCTTTCCTTAAATCGTAGAGCTTTAAAATTATCATATACTTCCCATTTCCTGGATTTATTCGTTTTTCGTAAATCATATTCTATATTTTCCACTTTTTTCTTTACTATTACTGATATTCTAATCCGTATTCTGATATCCCTCTTGATAATGTTACCTCAGTCTGGTGAACTGCTGTGGTGTGTCTAATACCTTCATTATGACTAACTGACTGAGGGTAATGAGCGGGTATGCAAAGTTAAAGGCTCATAAACTAAAAGTTTAGGACAGTTTTTCAATATTATTTAGCTTTCATCAATTCTACGGATGATGACAAACACAATTAGTGATATGAACACTACTGTGGTTATCTGTAACGTTTTCATTGTTGTTGAAAGGGTCTGTTGTATCCAGTAATTTCGGTTATTTTCCAGTTTCTTTAGTGGGATGAGTACTGTATACTGGAGTATGTGATATTCATTAAAGATCTCATTTCAATCCCTAATTTCCACTTTATTTGGACTGCGTTACATTGTCATATTGAAAGCAGACGAGTGTGGATAACTACAGACGATTGAAATGAAATTTTTAATAAGAATTACATTGTGTGATACGGCACCGATTCGCTAAATAAAAAGTGGTAGAAAATGTTCGATAGAACATACTCATTGAACATTGTGAATGTTCAATCATATACAACCTGGAATGAAATCCCAAATTATCGTTATTTGTATTTGTCATATTTATGGTAATTTGAGAAGTAATCTGAGAAATACATATACACATATACAGTAACAACGATTACAACTGGTTACAAAACAAAACGATAATTATACAATTTGCAACCTATATCATAAAATACCTTCTCCAGTTGAATTATCCATATAAAAATGCTAATAACAATGTGTATATGTATATATGAACATATAACTATGATCTAGAGGTCAGGTCATAGCTTTAAGACATAAAACTAGGTATGTCTACAGAGATTTGAGATTCTGAAATAAAATTAGACTGTCATCATCATCATCAACAACAACGACATCAAATCCATTAATTTAAATGATAGACAGAGAATTTGTGACCTAATTTATTTTATGAATAATCGTAACAGTTTAAAAAGAGGAGGTTAACTAATCTTATCAAATAGACATTATGTTTGATATTATATTGACTAACCCTAACCAACCAATTGACTGAGTTAGTGAGAGATTTGACGCCTTATGGTTTTTGTATAAAAACGAGTATGTGTGTGTAGGTAGGTAGGTAGGTGAATTGAATGATTCATTATCGATTGATTCATGATAATATTAACAGTAACGGTAGTATAAAAACGGAGTGGTTGATGTGGCAAATGGTATCTATTGCACACCTACAACATGTATGCAAATCATGTATATTCATCGAATCGAAAAAGAGAATAATATGTATATAACAAATAGACAGATATAATCATGTTAATACATGAAAAATTCCATTCACTTTCGTGATCAAAAGTAATATTCCCAAAAAAATTTTCCACTTAGAAAATTACTCATTTCAACGTTAGTGAGAACAATAAGCGAAGATATAATCATAATTAACTTTAAGAGTAAAAAAGCATTATTCACCGCTAGCATATGTTCCGTTAGGTAGACGGAATTGTGACCTACTCAACAGTTATGTCTTTCTCAACACAACTAACTGTCTGTTGATAGATTATTTCATGGCCAATGAATCGATACGATTAACAATGAATTATTTTCATAGCTATACAAGCAATAGAAACGTGAAATCACTAGATAGATATTTCGTCCTAGAATTCACTCCTCGGCATTGTCCATCTACGACCATCCTATAGGGAATCGAACTCACGACCTTCGATCTCGCGCACGGACACTTAATCTCTAAACCATTAAGTGGGCGCACAATATACACAAGCCTAACTTTGGTCAGTTCAATAATTTAAGTTAAAAGTAAATATGGCGTCCGGTTGTCGCTAACTCACTACTAAATAAATAACTATAAAATGAATGGTGACTAGTATTGAAAATTAAAACGGACATAATGGTTAGTATTTTTTTATTAATACAACTGATTGTAAATAACATACCCGGTGAACAAGTAGGTGGATATGGTAACTAAATAAGTAGCATAATAAATAACGCGTTTGAATTTGAAAAGATAAGCAGTAGATTCGTGTCTTAGTGTGAAAATCAATAGTGGGATTAAGGTAGATCCAAACCATAAAATCAGTATCCCAGATATGAATTTTTCGGAATGTCTAAACTATTCATTTATCGATGAAAAATCAATTTTATGACAGTCTCTGAAACGGTCATTCAATTTGTATGCTTACATAAAACATATCGATTTCATGTTTCCTTAAATCAATATTAATAGAGATTGGATTTAACTGAAAGAAGAATAATCAATCTTCCATAGAATTTATTGGTATGATGTGTAACGTTTCAACTGGATCTCAAATGCTGTCTGATGTGGTGATTCGTCGTTTTTTATTCACTCTTCTATTTAACATAATAAAAAGTATTAGATCATAGAAAGTAGATTCTTAGGATAAAGAAATGCAGATAAGGCTTATCTCAACATGAATACCACTAGATTTTTAAAAAATCGAATCTCAGCAATATTTAAGGGAGATTAAATGATGTATGTTGATAATCCTCGAGAGATGAATGTTTCATAGACAATTTAACCTTTTGCTGAATGAATCTATAGAGGTAGTTACAACTCTATGTTCAAAGTAAGCAGTTCATTTATTTAACTCTAATTAAATTAGTAGATTACATAATCAGTTAAATTAATAATAGATGCTATTTTTAATATCAGAAGGGGCTTTTGTGGATATGATAGTAATTCTAATAGTTGAGATCATGAGTCAATTGAAGCTAGACCAATATAGAAGACCTGGAAGCATTGTATGGCTGTTTCGTCTTATTGTGGGACTGCTCAGCAGTGTTTTGTGGAAATAAATTCAATTTATAGGTTGCATTTGTTACAAACTGATTTTCGTTGGGATACTATTGAATAATAGAGAGGTATTGGACAGCTATTTCATCCTTGTAATAAGATAACGTAGAAGTGTATATCAAAGATCCTGTATCAAAGGACAAACCCAGAACTTAATTATTACTGAATTTTGAAGCCAAACATATATAACTACTACTGATAGAAGACCACTTTTTTTAACCTCTATGCTGATCAATATCACCTCTAAATGACAATAAATGATTCACAAATGTTACATAATTTGAGAGAAAAGTAATATTTTTCTACGCTATAAATCTTTTCATCACTATCCCCCAGTGTATTATCATTTCATCTCATTAGCTCAGAAAAAAAACGGATTGATAATAAACTAGCATTTAAAGTTATATGAATACACTGAACTCTATGAAATCATGTGAAGTAATGGACTAATGATTAATATATTTAAAATTTTGATCTCTACACTAAGATTACAGATTAAAACCTTATTTCATTTACTTCAGTCACTTTTATAAACATACTTAGAATGAGAAATGGATACTAACACTATCTAACAGAGCAAACTGAAGTAAGAAGTATGAGAGTAGGATTCAAACTATGAAATATGATAAACTGAAGTTCAATAATAGCTCGACGACCACAAATCCACCAAGCATTGTATATGTGTGTATATGAAAATATAATGGGTTTTGTATTAAGTGTACGTTGAAAATGAATATGGTTAAAATATCCATATGTATATATTACCACTCACCTGGGAAATCACATCCATACAATGCAAATCGTAAGCAAACTTGTTGTTTTGATCGATGACTATAAGGGTAGATACGGATACGTTTAGCGATAACCACTGAATCAAGTGTAGTTCTAGCAATATTTCGTGGATCATTATTAGCTTTGAGGACCTGATAAAACAAATGTATATACATATAAAAACAATCAACGACGAATGGTATAAAAACATTCACAATGGTTAAGTAACATTAACAAACATAAGATGGAATGCGATGTGAATTCATTTCATTTAGTATCCTCTAAATTTTCTACAAGTGAAAACATGTTTAGAAAATTATTCAGTTACTGTTAAAGTAGAAAATCTGGCACGATCATTGTGTTTCCATACTTTGACTATTTATCTTGTCTACATTAGCAAGATATTAACCGGTTATAAGTAAACAAGCTATAAGTTGCATTGTAACGACTAGTTTTATAATCGAAGCGTTGGCATTTAGGTGGGACAAAACAAAATGTCCTAGATACATGAACAAAAACTATCAGTGAAACGATACGATATGCTATCATTAATATAAATGTACATAAACAACTACAGACATGAATTAGACTGAGAAAACATTGAAACTCTGGATCATGAAAACTCTAAGAATCACAGAGCAATTCTGGAAATATGACATTGAAATCATTTGGTTATCAATGAACCCACTGAAATAGATTTGACCTGTCGATCTATTTAGAAGAATTCAATCAATTATATAACCACAGGTCAAACTAAGTAATATAGGAATGCAACTATAACTGAAGATAAAGAAACCCACGAAGAAAATTCAATCCATAAATAAAGCGACCAGAAACAAAATGTTTCAATGCATGTGAAATAACTAAGAAGCTCACTTCTAATTGAAGTAACCACTGAACGATAGTTAAAGCTTAACAATTTAACCAACTAACTCAAAATACTCAACAACACGAAAATATCTACAGTATACCACTCTATGATTAAACGTAATCGAATGTAAAATCATCCCCTTTATCCAGAACACAGCAAAAATAATGTTGAAGGAATTCACATTAAATGAAAGTCATTGAAATCATGAAATGATCAATGTTGGGCCACCGTTGGGAACCTGTAAGCACTGGGCAGCTGCTTCGTCTTAGTATGAAACTCCTCAGCAGTAGACATCAACGATACATGACCCAACACGCTGGAGTCGAACTCGGGAACATCAGTCTCGCGCGCGAACCCTTAATCTTCAGACCACTAAGCCGGCATCCAACAGTTTTAATGTATAACTTTAACCAAACCACGTTGTCGCGCCACCGTCTTCTTTTATCTTCAATGGGTAAATGCCTCACACGCGACACGGCTAGACTCCATTGATCACAGCTTCTCATAAGATCTCCGAGAACTCCATCTCAAAGCTTTGGGGTTTCGGTTACTGAATTGAAAGTACTCAACCTTTTTTCGTGACTAAACACACTAAAATACACTGACAAACATTAACCAACCTCATATACCCACCTATCAACCTACCTCTTATAAATTTCATTTCATTTACTCATTAATTAGACAAACATTCAATCCATGCCAAAATTATGTTTTAAGAACTATGGAATTATTATTATTATTATTATTATTATTATTGTTATTAATCACAAAACCCTCACCTCCCTACCTCACTTTTGCCTTGTTTCATCTCACTTTTGTACACTTTCTCATAGACATCTCGATTCTTGTCTACAACTATTTATTTTCTTGCTTTTCATTACATAAAATGAATAACACAAATTATGTTGTTGAAACTAAACTACAAAAATTAACAATGATGGTCAATATTCAAAGACAATTTTCTATGAAATTGATTTCGCTGTCTCCACCTCCCATATGCACATTATATAGAAAGATTAATTATGAAAAGATATATTACTTTAATAAAACATTATGTTCTTGTGATATATATATATGCATGATTATTGTAAACGTACTCGTGTACCATCAGTTTTTACATGTTCATACCACACACCATTATCTTCCCGTTGATATCGTAAAACAAAATTTGGCATATATTCTTTTACCTAACCAATGACAAATAATAAGAGACAGAGAGATAGAGAATATAATACTAAAAATTCATATACAAATCAATCAAAGACAACATACTCATAAATATGTATAAATCTTATGCTAATAAGTTGATGTAAGTCTAAGAATTATTGAATGTTAAGAAGAAGTATTAAACAGATGTATTTCAATAGTTCAGATAATGAGTCAATTGAAGCTAGACCACTATAGAAAACTTGGAAGTACTGGATGACCGTTTCGTCCTACTGTGGGACTACTCCTCAGCAGTGCGCATCCACGATCCCGCCTCCGTGTGAAGGATAAGATCATTTCAACAAAATGTCGAAAATATAAACTCTTGAATTATCATTAAGTGACTTAAATGTCATATGATTATTATGAGACTTGGAGGTTATAAGTTTAATTCTCTAGTGGTGAGTGCGTGTAAATAGTTGAACAGTAACCAAAACTACGGTGGAATAGTTCTTTAATACTTTGATGGAGCACTAAATCAGCACTAAACGAGTTGAACTTTCACAGATATTAAGTTACATTTTCGAAGCCTGTTCCATCTACTTCGGATTGAGTAACAGTGTAGTATCACTATCTCTCACAATCGGAGTGCCAGTGTACTCTGACTTTCAATGGTATTCTAAATGATGTTGATCTGCACTGAAAAACAACTTAAGTATAAACTAATGTCTATAAACTTATCAATCAAAAATAATTGACCTAAAATAATGTAATTCAGAATCCAAGTATACAGCTTCATTTACTCAACTTTAAACCACACTTAGGTGTTTGTATGCGAGATCATCAAAATGACACTATTCAGATGTTTTGGTCAAAATATATGAGACATAATTGGATAAATTAAGCAAAGCTCCACAAATAATAATGATGTCACTCAGTATCCCAGTATAGATCCATACAACCGAATTTCGAAGTATGATGTGTGTGACACGCATATCCATGTCAGAGAAAAATATCATCCGCACAGAGCCTAGCACAGATATGCATTGTCTCAAGTTACCATACCTGAATAGCTCGAAGAGTTGACAATAACGAAACAATCAAAATAATGTGGTAAGAATGATGAAAAAACTGAATATTGAAAATATGGTTTGAAAAGATAGATGGAAAGGTATGTCATGAAAGGTTACTAGTATTCAACGTTAAGAGGAAAATACTCAATATTGTGAACGGTTCTGATTCATCTCACTCAAAGGCCATCCTAAAGAAGATAGTAGGACAATGGTTGAGATCTACAACATAATAATTGATTTGTATTAATTGTTTGGATTTTCCCCATTGATGTTTAGGACTGCAATTGATCAGTCTCATTTGGCATATGTACATCCTTTCAGGATTAATAATTCCATTAAGTCACAAGCACTTTTTTTTAAAAAAACAGATGTGGATAAAAACGAACGGTACATAATTCGAATCTCGTGGTGAATATTAACTCTAGCATACAGATATATCCAGTTGACAAATCACAATTAGGACGAAATGTGCACTCTCGACTCCAGTATAACACTATAATTTAAAAAAATGATTGTTTTAGCTATAAAACTACCGATTCACTTGGTTTTGTTTTACTTGTATCTTCCCATTGTTATTTAGGACTGCAATTGATCAGTCTCTTGTTGGCATATGTGCATCCTATGCGGATCGCCTCAATATAGCCTTTAGTCACAAGCATTTTAAGCAAAGATGGATAGTGGCTAACAATGGAATCAAGTTTGACACGCGTTTCGTCCTATTTGGGACTCGTTAACTGGATGTGCCTGCATCCCACAGTTGATGTTCACTCCGGAACTTGAACCCAGTACCGTTTGCTTCAAACGCCATCACGTTATCCACTTAGCTACTGAGTCCTGATAGCCACCTCCTTGTGGGATGTAGGTACATTCAAGTGACGAGTCCTAAATAGGACGAAACGTGCATCCTGGATTCCACTACTAACCACTAACTATTTTTGCTTAGATATAAAACTATCGGCCTAAAAATATCAAACAAATGAATTCTCTCTACTATGAAACAAAATAGAATACAGATAATCATATCGTGCATTTTATTTTCCGTGAGAAACAGTGAAAATATATCAGGAAAGAAACTTTTTTAAGAAAAAAAAGGAAGTTAAACAAACAATAAATCAAAAAAAGAAAAACTATGTATATCCTAAATCAATTAAGATCAGAAATCATTATTTAGCCAACCATCTATTAATCTACATACTAATATCAGAGAAAATTGTCTCTAAACACGGTACCAACTATGAATTGGTCGCATCTTCGTTCGTTTATCATTAAAACCTATACAGACACATAGATACAGATACATACATACATCTATACAAGATAACTCTATCAGAATGAATGATCATCTCTATATTAGAAATGTGTATTAGTATGCAATGGTTATAATAAATGAGAGTGATAGATATTTAATATATAAATTTTTAGATGTAATTGGTATAAATGATAACTAGTTGAGTCATAACAAAATTTAACCAGGAAGGTATGAATATCGATTTACAAAATCTTCTGAAATGATTGTATGTCTAGTGGTTAAGCACTCCTAAACTACAAATTATTCATAAACTATGCCAGCCCCGTTGAAATATCTAACATCTTTAAAGTAACACCACATTCCATAGCTTCGAACCGGCATAGTGGTAAGCAGTGAGCAATAAATGATGAATAATAAACTTCGTTTATATAAGACTCAACTCAAGCAGTTAAATCCAATCGGATAAAAAAAGTCGACGGTTCTATTCAATTGGACGATTCGTTCGGAATTTCGATATGACTAGAAAACTATGGATTTTGATAAAGTCCAATTACCCATTCTAATATGTCGTCAATATTCCAAGGTCATGTAAGGAGTATCTAATCCATAGTGTTCTGTCGTACGACTGTTTTACTGAGGAACAATAAGAAAATCTTTTACAAAGGCTTATCTTCATTTTTACGCTACAAATATCGTTGAAATGTCGTTTTATGTAAGAACTCATCTGATATGTAATATCTGTATGCATAACAATATTCCCATCTAATCTATGTTATTCTCAATACAGACTACAATAATGTGACATTTTACATAACTTATCGCATAGATTACACTTCACAGCAACCAGTTCTAACCATTGTGAGTACTTCTCAATAGCTCATATATATATAAGTAGTAATGTATGTCAAGTAGCCAAAAAAACTGTATTTTAGTGTATCTACACACAAATTATAGTATCTATTATATGCTTTGTTTAAATAACTTATTCAATTGCCAAACAATAGATTTTGTCTCATTAGGACACCATCTATCTGTCTACTGTTTATTATCTATGAACGTATGTCTGTAATATGAATGAGAAATTCTATTGAAATCGCTTCTCTTATCCACCATATATTATCATTGTTTTATTTACATTGAACTAAATCAGTTCATAATAAAACAAACCCATACAAAATAGATATGAATTTAAACAAAATTCATTGTTCGATAGATCAAGCTACCTGATTTGCAAGAAAGACAATACTTTGTACAAAATAAAAGAAAATGGAGTCTTCAACTCTAAAGTGTAGACGATAATAATAATAATAATATAGGGAGTGATTATGTTGATAATGATGACGATGATCATGTTTAGTGCACATAGACGGCGCTAAAAAAAAAGTAAGGATCCAGTACAAATAATAGTCAGTGGTTTTGAGTGCTGTTACAAGTATGAGGGTGGTTATCACTACCCGGTTGCCCACACCATGGAAGGGTTCTTATGGAGGTACCTGAAAACGAAATTAAATTAAAGGTGGTTTTGGTGACCTGAGAGCGTGACTGCAGTGCCTAACGGACAACTGATTGACGTCGGTCACACACGACCATTTTGTAGGTAATTCTAGTGTTAGCTCCGTAGTTGATGAGACCTTACCGACAGAGACGGATATCCGTGGGATAAGGTGGTGCGCATTTTTAGGGTCAACCTTTTCCAACCCCGCCCCCTCCTTGTGGGAAGGCATCATCGGTGTTGTGCTGGTTGTCTGTAGGAAACATCTTACTGCTGTCACACCTCTGTACAGTCAGGAGTATGACTTCGCCCTTGGAACTTGGGTTTGCTGCTTTGAGTCTTACCGCTCATCAACCGACCTATCTAGCATGATAGGACCTTGAGGAATGATTGTTTCAGCCAGTATAGCTCAACTGGTTCAACACGATAGGCAAACCCGACCATCACGTCAAGGTAGTAACAACAGTCAGGAGTACAAATAATAATTAATTAATCAGCCAACTAATCGTAATACATTACATTTATTGAATTATAGAAATTAATAATAATATTAATTAATTGTAAACTAATGAATAAAACAGATAAAATATAATGTAAAGAGAAAGTGAATTGAGCCATGATAATAGTAATATACTTTTGAGAATGGATTTGTCCACAATTAGATTGAAAATAGAAAAAAGATAGCCTATTATCTCAAGAAATATATACATATCTGTTGAATGATATATGTAACAAATTGCTACTACTTTTGTGGTGTATGATGCTAGTTATATCAACAGACATAAGTAGTATGTAACACTAATCGAAAACCTAGTAGCAGAAAGCTAAGAAGATCAAGTTGAAAAGAATATAACAGGAAATAGAGAGGAGTTGGGTAAGACAATAATTTATGAACGAACCAAAAAGATTTAAGATGGCAAGTTTTAGATTATGGCGCTAGATTCATCTACTCATTTGGTTAAATACCATTTCAGCACTATAGCTGATGTCAGTTAGTGATAAAAGCATTGAATATAATTTGTAACTCTAACGTTCAACTGCAAATCCTGATCCTAGCTCCTCGCACTAATTTATAACTCTGTGGTATGTGCTACTTATATCGACATAAGTAGTATATGACGCTAGTCAGGAACAGAATGTCTGGCAGCAGAGAGACAAGAGGATCGAACAGTAAGCAATGGAAGGAGAATGCAATTTATATGAAAATACATGAACAATGAAATCTGA